CGAGCTCGTCAGTTGCGGATGATGGTGTAGCTCGTTCTCGCCTGTCTGGGGTGTGGATTTCGCCTGAGACGTGGTCGCCTGCGGACATGGAGAGGCGAGGGGAGCTCACCTGCTTGGATCGAAATCGCCTGTTCTTGATCTCGCCTGTTCTGGATTTCGCCTGTGTGATTCACGCCTGTAGCCTTTCGCTGTGCTCGCCTGGGGTTGTGGAAGATAGCTGGATCTCGCTGTCTGCCCTAGGGTTTCCCTATAAAAGGGAAACCCTGTTCACGGAGCTGGTGAGCCCATCTTCAGCGAATTTCAACAGAGAGAAAAATTCTCTCTGTGGCGGCGCTTTAACTCCAGCGAAAATTCTCAGGAGTAATCGAGAATCAATTTTTCGGTCAAGAAAAATTGTATTATTCCTGTAGCATTTACTACAGTGAAGGAAGTTGGTGTTGTGAGAGCTCTAGCTTGAGATTCTCACTTTTATAAGCTTTGTAATTTCTTGAGGTTAAATAAGAAATTATTTGTGTGGCTCCCGTGGACGTAGGCAAGTTTGCCGAACCATGTATATCTGTTGTCCCGCCTCATTTATTTACTGTTTAACTGTGTAGTCGTTTATTGCTTGTATTGATTAGTTTGAGTTTGGCTTAAACTCAAGCCAGGATTGTTTTCTCTCGGATTTACTAGCTTCCGTGGCGGTGTGGGCGCTACGCGCTCCCAACAATTGGTATGAGAGCCCTTATTCAGATTGGAGGTGGTTAAATTTCTGATTTGAGGTGGTGCTTGATTATTGTTGAATTTTCTGAGAGAGTTAGATTTATTAATATAAGTGGAGAATGGCGTCTACAAGTAAAACAGTTAAAGTGAGAAAGTATGAGATCGAGAAATTCAATGGGAAGAATGATTTTTCCTATTGGAGGATGCAGATGAAAAATTCGCTGATTTCGTAGAAATTGCACAAGGCCTTGGCAGAAAAAGAGAAGAAGCACAAGGATATGTCTGATGAGGATTGGGAGGAGCTGGATCTGGAAGCACGAGCGTCGATTATCCTTTGCCTTGAAAGGGATGTTACTTTCTTGATGGACGGGGAGGAAACGACTGCGGGCGTGTGGTTAAAGTTAGAGAGCACCTTCATGACGAAGAGTCTAACAAACCAGATCTATTTGAAATCCAAATTGTACACTTGCAAGATAGAGGAAGGCTCGTCAATCCGGGAGTACATCAACAAGTTCGATAGGCTCTTATCGGATTTGAAAGACATTGAGGTGACAGTGGAAGACGAGGATCAGGCTCTTCTACTACTACTATCTCTGCCGAAGTCTTATGAGAATCTGGTTCAAACACTGATGCTTGTGGGTGATAGTTTGTCGATGGATGAGACTAGAACGGCGCTTCTAGTGGATGATTTTCGAAAAATTGCAACTAGTGATATGGCCACTAGTGGTAACAAAGAACAAGTGCAGGGGTTCTTTGCCAGAGAAAGAGGCAATGAGCGAGGAAAAGGCAAGGGAGGAAAGTCTAGATCAAAATCAAGACCTCTTGCGAAAAGACCGTGTTTCAAATGCGGTGAGCTAGGATATTTCAAAGTCAATTGTCCTAACAAGAGAATAGGTGGGAAGAATAACAACAACAAGACTGAAAGACGAGAAGGCAAGGAAGAGGCAAGCTACGCTTCAGAGGATGGGAGCGATAAGGAATGTTATGTCGTCACGGGTGGCGAGGATACCTCCGGGAAGCGGATTCTTGATTCTGGTTGCTCTTACTACATATGTCCAAACAGGAAGTGGTTTACTACCTACAGGAGCATTGATGGTGGAACCGTATTGATGGGGAACAACCATGCTTATAAAATGGTGGGGCTAGGCGATATCAAGATCAAGATGCATGATGGAGTGGTTCAAACCTTGACAGACGTACGACACGTTCCCGACTTGCGGAAGAATCTCATCTCAGTCGGTGCTTTGGACTCCGGGGGTTGCAAGATTGTAACAGAGAATGGAGTGAAGAGGGTTGTTCGAGGTTCTCTAACAATGATGAAGGGTGTTCGTCACGGTAATCTATATACTCTTTCGGGTACGACGGTGATGGGAGATGCAGCAGTTAGAGCTGAAGGAAGTGGTGGAGATCCATGTGAGCACACACAGTTATGGCATAGGCAGCTTGGGCACATGTCAGAGAAGGGTCTGGATCTGCTTAGTAAAGAGGGTTTGCTAAAGAATCTGAAGAAATCTTGCAAGGATTTTTGCGAGGATTGTGTGTATGGAAAGGCACACAGGGTCCAGTTTCTGAGGAGCAAGCACAAGAGCAGAGGGATTCTAGATTATGTGCACACGGATGTTTGGGGTCCGGCTTCGACAACTTCCAAGGGTGGTTCTAGGTATTTTGTCTCATTCATAGATGATCATTCGAGATATGCTTGGATTTATTTTCTGAAGCATAAGAATGAGGTATTTGAGACTTCAAGAAGTGGAAGGCGATGATTGAGAACAGGACAGGTAAGAAATTGAAGACACTGAGATCTGATAACGATACAGAGTATACAGACGGTGCTTTCAAGGAGTTTTATGATCAGGAGGGGATTACCAGACACTGAACAGTTAGGTCTACACCACAGCAAAATAGGGTCACGGAGAGACTGAACCAAACACTGCAGGAGAAAACAGTGAGTATGCGATCTTATGTTGGTTTGGGCAAAGAATGATGGGCAGAGTCGATTGCTACAGCTTGCTTTATAGTGAATCGATCTCCACATTCGACATTGGACGGTGATACGCCCTATCGGGTATGGTCAGGAGAGCATGCAGATTATGAGATACTCTGAATCTTCGGGTGTACCGCCTACTATCACATCAACGAGGGAAAGCTTGACGCGAGGGCCAAGAAAGTAATTTTCTTAGGGTATGCAAATGGCCTAAAAGGCTACCGCCTTTAGTGTACAGAAGATTCGAAGTTCGTGATCAGCAGGGACGTTACCTTTGATGAGAAGTCCATGATTGCTAGGGTGCCCAAGGATGATGGTGTTGAGACTGTTGGGAATTCAAAGTCCCGGGTTATTGATATAGAACCTAAAGACCAACCAGGTTCTAGTCATGTTCAAGTAGGAAATCAGGTAGATGATGAGCTTGAGCAGGAGGAGGTTCGGCAGGATAATACACAGGCACTTCAACAACATCAGCTCGAGGATAGCTTGGCTTCCACTAGGCCAAGGCGAGCATACAAGCAAGTGCAGAAGCTGGGGGCTGATCAACCCCTGAAGCACTATGGGCAGGTTAATTTGGTTGAGTACGCACTCTCGGTGGAGGAAGATGGGCCGGTCTCCTTCAAAGAAGCTATTCGAGATAGAGATAGCGAGAGTTGGTTGGCTGCGATGGAGGAGGAGATGGAATCTTTCCGGAAGAACCAAACATGGGAGGTGGTCCCATTGCCCGTAGGAAAGAAAGCTATAGGTTGTAAGTGGCTATATAAAAGAAAGGAAGATCCTTCAGAGCTCGGTGGTACGAGATACAAGGCGATGCTAGTGGCTAAGGGGTTTGCACAAAGAGAGGGTGTGGATTACAATGAGATATTTTTTCCGGTGGTGAAACACACTTCTATTCGGGTGCTGTTGAGTATTGTTGCTCATGGTGATCTTGAGCTGGATCAACTCGATGTCAAAACAGCCTTCTTGCACGGAGACTTGAAGGAAAAAATCTATATGCATCAATCTGAGGGCTACAAGGTTGAGGATAAGGAGAATCATGTATGTCGCTTGAGGAAGTCACTGTATGGATTGAAGCAATCTCCTCGGCAGTGGTACAAGCGATTTGACTCCTTCATGCTGAAGCATGGATTTTCCCGAAGCGACTATGATTGTTGTGTTTACATTCGGAAGCTTCGTGAAGGTGATTATATCTATCTCCTATTGTATGTGGATGACATGCTTATTGCATCGAAGAACAATGTGGAGATAGATAAGCTGAAATCTTAACTTAGCAATGAGTTCGAGATGAAGGAAATAGGCGCTGCTAGGAAAATTCTGGGTATGGAGATTAGAAGAGAGCGTACAAATCGGCGATTGTTCTTGAGTCAGAAGGGCTACATAGAGCGGGTGATCACAAGGTTCGAAATGCAAAGTGCTAAGTCAGTGGTGACTCCATTGGCTTCACACTTCAGGCTCTCAGGTAAACAATCTCCCACTACAGCGGAAGATAAGGCACACTTGGAGCGTGTTCCTTATGCTAGTGCAGTTGGCAGTTTGATGTACGCCATGGTGTGTACACGCCCAGATATTTCACAAGCGGTTAGTGTGGTCAACAGATTCATGGAGAATCCGGGAAATGCATTGGGAAGCTATGAAGTGGGTCCTGAGGTACTTGAAGGGTACCGCGGATACGGGTCTGTGTTTTGGTGGAGAGACATATCAGATTGATGGGTTTGTGGACTCAGATTATGCGGGCGATCTAGACAGACGGTGATCTACTACTGGTTATGTATTCAGTATACATGGTGTTCCAGTTAG